CCTTCCTTCCTTCCTTCCTTCCTTCCTTCCTTCCTTCCTTCCTTCCTCCTTCCCTCCCTCTTTCCTGTTCTTTGTTTCTTCTGACATTTGTTCTTTCCTTTCTTTTCCTTCCTTCTTTCCCTCCTTCTATTCTTCCACTGTCTACCCTCTATCTTCTGGGTGGGGGTGGGGCATTGGGGGTGGTACTAGGATTAGAACAGGGCCCGACATAGACTGGGTGATCTGCTACCGAACTAAATCTCCAACTGCATTTAACTTTTAACCAGGAAAGTGTAATAAAATCACAAATTAAAACTGATTATTGCAATAGTTAGCTGTGGAGAAGTGAAGCATCAGAGTTTTTTTCAAGGAGACTGAGAAGGATGAGGGGCAGGCAATCTGAGGACAAATGAGGCTACATCGTAGGCATTCCCATGGGGTTTTTCATTGCTACATTGAGTGAACAGTGTACCTGCTCATGGTCTTGAGTTACGGGTAGAGCCTAAGAAGTATGAAACACTGATCCAGGGTAAAATGGTTGCCATTTGCCCCATTTGGAGAGGGTCAAAGAGAATGGATCCTGTGTATCAAGAAAGCTCCCATGGCTCAGACACCAGCAGTTGGGGAAGGAAGTGGGCCTAAAGAAGGCTTTGTTGCTCTGGTCAGCCATCTTGTAGCTTGAAGTTCATCTTCCAAGCTTATGGGTTATCCCTCTGGTCCCCCTGATTGATTTGACTTCACGGATACCAGATATCCTTAATTTTATAAATTTATATCATTACTTATTTTTTCTTTTTCTACATTTACTTTGGGGATTGTGCTGGTTTTTTTGTTTGTTTGTTTGTTTGTTTGTTTTGTTTTCGTAAAAAAATCCAGAAAGGCATACTGAGCTCTGCTGAGAAAGGAAAAGACTCTGATGTCATTTGGTCCAGAGTAAAACTAGACACATTGGGAGAGTTGGGGCCACAGGAAGAGGTGCTAAAGACCAGCTCCATCACACAGGGTGGGTGATCATGACCAGCTGATGGTTGGGGTTTCTTTCTATACTTTAACTCTTAAAACTCTCAGGCTGGTAGCCTTGTTTTTTGGGGCCCTCTCTATCTACAGTTTAAGTCTATATACAGCTTAATTCTCAGGGGCTGCTGGTCTTGAGAGCCTCTCAAGATGGAGGTAGCAGGGACTTGAACCCTGAACTTTCAGATTCAGGGGCTGAAGTTTATCAGCTGAACTATCCAGGCCTTCTGGTTTATCTGCCACCAAAACTGCTCTCTGGCTAAAATCTTTTCTTGTTTAACAGCAGAGAGTCTTAATTAGTTAAGCTGGATGGCTCTTTTAACTCAGAGTACAAGCTGCCACAGCCCTGACAGTTTCTTGCTGTAAATACAAGGCATAAAAAAGAAAAGGCCTAGTTCCTTTTAACTTAATGTCTCAGCAGTGAACAGTGGTTTGCTGCAAGCTAGAGTCTGAATAACATTCCAGGCTGCTTATCTCTTACTAAACTTACAAAACTTAGAAGCATGCAAAAACATACACACATTTGGCAGGCAAAGCAGGGAGAGCTTGATGACTCTCTCACACACATGCACACATACAATCAATAGACAAAACAAGGGAGCTCCAACAGATACCATTTGTCCATATATAAAGAACACATGAATACAAAAACAAAAAAAATAAACTGTTAACTATACAAGACAAGACAGACACTGGTTTCTTAGAAAACCTTGACATTAAAAAAAAAAACTTACTTTGAACACATCTGTATGTAAGCATACAGATATAATTATACATATATACACATATACATATATACAATATATACAGACAATTTGACATACGAACAGAAAGACAGACAGATAGACAGACACATTTTGGATGAAGTGCATGGCCTCAACAAATGTTTAATTCTATCTTGGGTTTTTATACTCTTTAATACAAAGATTCTCTATGTATGAAAAAATTACCTTATTAAAAAAAATACAGTTGTTACATAAAAAGGGAGTTACAGTGGGACTATTGATCCTAATATCTAACTAGATGATATAAGTTTAAAGCAATGATTTTATTTATATGCTCATTATGAGTTCAAAGCACAAGTTTTATCTTTTTCTTATTTCAAATATACATTATGTATTCAAAGCAAGTTTTTTTAATGTCAAGGTTTTCTAAAAAACAGCTGTCTGTCTTGTCTTATATAGCTAATCTTTTATTCTTTGTTTTTATATTTATATGTTCTTTCTTATATTGGTGTACACCTGGGCCTTATCCTTGGACTAAACCTAGAATGAACGTCTCTCCTTGATTATTAATTTGTTTCAATCTTTTTTTCCCCTTTTGGTGTGAATCAAGTGCTTGATATAGGAAGGTCCACAGAGCTCATAGCAGTTCTTTTTTTTTTTTTTTTTTTCCTTCTTCAATACTACAGGAGGGTTTTTAAGTTACTTGAATCAAATTAGAAACTCTTTAAAATCATCGTCAGGGGTTATGAAATCATTAATTCATTTAAACTGCACTATGTCATGAAGGTACATCTTTAAAATAACCTGTAGGAAATCTGCCTAACAGCATGAAGCAGTAAGCAGTGAGGGTCTCAGCCAAGCCAGATACATGAGGTAAGCATAGAAAGGCAGTAGAGCAACAATAAGCAGTCTTGAGGCAAAATTTTTGGGGCCTTACCTAAACCCTGGATACACCCATTCAGAGTGGGCTGCCTCCAGGAAGCTTGCTTGCTTCTGCCAATCCAGCATGCAATTGCTCCCAGCAGAGGGGAGCTCAAAGGACAGGAAAAAGCAAAAGAGGAAGTGCCAAGGACAGCAGAGATGTGCTTATCCAGAGTCAGATGGCCCTCCCTCTTGCCTGCCCTTGAATAATTTTATACTTGGAGTGATTAAGTCTAATGTAGATATTTTTCAGTGGTTGCAGATGGCTCTAGTCTGTTGTGATAAGGAAACTGCATTGGAGACTTTAGCTGCCCTCTTGCCCTCTCCTTCCCCAAGCCTAGTGAGTATAACAGCTGAGGCTGGAGGCTGCTTTAACACCAAGCCAATTCAAGCCAAACCCGATCCATCAATATCTCCTATGTTTCTAAAGGGCTTATTTGTGTTTAAAATGCAGTCAACTTTTATCTCAACCCTGCTTCAAAAGAGGCATGGATCATGAGTGAAACAACTATTACAGCACTGGAGAAAGGAAAAAAGAAATTAAGGTGATAGAGCTGCAAAAAGATTCATTACCTGCAAAGTGACCACTTCCTCCTCTCAGACACTGGTAGTCATGCCTTTTGTAAACTTGTTTTTAAGCATGGATCTTATTCATATTTGTTGACACACCAAATTGCAGGCACTCTGTTATGCGGATAGCTTATGGTGATGATAGGAAGTTAACTGAAGAAGGGTTGTAATGATGATGAGGTCGTAATTTCTTTTCATTTGGTTGCTTACTTTCACTGAGTATAATTTCTCTTGAGTCATGTTAATTTTGACAGACAGCCACTCTGTTATATATTCTATCTTACAGAGGGAGAACATAAGCCTAGAATGTAGACTTTTCTTTTTTTTTTTAAGTGTGCTTTTCTTTAAAAAATGTAAATTGACTTAGAACAGTACCTGAAGATTTTAATGGCATTTGTGTATTCTATTATTTGCCTTTAAAAGCAAATAGCAATATCTAAATGCATCAGTTTTTAAAACTAAAATGTAATAGTTCTGAGTCTCTGTCTGTCTGTCTCAATGGAATGGTGTTAAGCGACAGGGAGCACTTGAGAAGGCTGTCCTTTTAGTTGTAGTTGATCAAATTAATTCCTCTTTGCTCATCTCTCTAGGTACTTTCCAGGCTCAAGTACTGAGCCTTGTTTTTGTTTTTTAAGAATAAAGATGAAGCACCTTTCTTGATGGTTTAGAAGTCTATAGTACTTTCCCCTCAGCTCAGGCAGCAAAAAGCAGTCCTTTCGTTAGTCCATCTGAAGTAAAGCAACACTTTCTTGTCTTTCTTTCTTCTTTGTATGCTTTTTAAATGGTTTTCAAAGACATTCATATTTATCACAGTACCAAGAGATGTGCAGGCAATTCTGAATGCGTTTTCACAACTCACTGACCTCTGTAAGGTCCCACATTTATTCAGCAACAAACAGGAAACCAGAATGCAGAGCCCAGAGTCCAAAGCTACTCTCGAGAGTTTCTATATTAAACATCTTTTTATTTATTTATTTATTTATTTATTTATTTATTTATTTATTTATTTATTTATTTATTTATTTGTCATGGTTTCCTCTCACTGGAGTTATAGAGGTCCTGCTTTTATGACTTTTGGATGTCAAGTGTATCACAGAGCTGGCACACAGCTGTTGCTCAGCCTTGATTGGTAACATTATAATGGTGTGAGAGTAACATTATTAAATGAAGCAAAAGGAGTCCTGGGCAGAGACCTTACATAACAAGTTAACAGCACATGTTGAAGCCAATATTGTTTTGCGTACCTGCCCATCCCTCCTGGTCCCAGGTGTAAAGGTGATATATTATTCTCTGCACTTATACGAAATTAAGCCTCTGTAGTATAAAGAGATGTTGACTTATAGACAATAATGTCTGAGAAGCATGGCTGTGATTCTAGAAAACCAGGATTTATTCTGATAGTTACTTCCTCTTCTTTCCTTTCTTTCTCCCTGAAGATAACTCAGCCCTTCCAGGGAGCAGCCACCATGATCTCTCCACACTGATGATGGAAGAAAGGGGAACCAGGAGATACTGTGTTTTGGATTCCCTGGATGATGGATGAAGGACAGCCCGTCCCTTCACCCCTGGTACCCCTTGGGAACTTATCAGATTCTAGCATGTCTCTGGAACAAAAAACAACATTCGTTTTTGTGATTTTGTTGTTTATCTTTCTGGGCATCCTCATCGTCAGGTGCTTCCGGATTCTTCTAGACCCATATCGGAGCATGCCAACCTCAACCTGGGCTGATGGGCTTGAAGGCCTAGAGAAAGGGCAGTTTGATCATGCCCTTGCTTAGCAGGGGCACAGTAGGCTGCCCTTCAAAGGAGGCACAGTGCTTTATGTCTGAGCAAAGTTTTCCATTTGTAATGTTCTCAGCAAATCAAATTTTAACCACATCTGGCCCTAGGACAATGAGCCATTATTTCATAAACATACTCTTGTGTTAAAATCATCTTATCTGAGGATAATGGAAAGTTTATATTACCAACCCCCAAGTAGGAAGGTGCAGACATGTGTTTTATACTCGATGAATGAATATTGTTGGAGATGTGATTGTAAAACCAACAGTACCAATACTCATGTGGGCTTCACTGTCAAATGAAGGACTCTCTCATCACATCAGAGAATAAACAATCAGAGAAAATCTGATGTTAATACAAGAGACTACTCTAGTCATCCCTGTCAGTTTCACTTTGTGCACATTTAGGTCGTGAAAAGGGTGACATAGCCCGTGCACAGGCAACTTCAAGTGGGTGCTTGTATTCTCCCAGAGTGAGTAGAACTAGGAAGTGGTGGTGGCTTAGTAAAGAAAGTTCTTTACTTGGTAAATGTGGATGAGAATGCTACTGTCATTTTCATTATTAACTAACGTTGAAGTCTACAGAGTTTGGAAACTACCAGGCCTCATCTCTGAATTCCTGTGGCTAACACACTTAGATACACTGATGCATAGTTAGAATTTTTTTTTGTCTTTACATTTCTGATGGAACTAATGGATTACAAGCACAACTTCAAGGTTTTGTTTTTAAAGAAAGATGATCGCTTAGCTAGGAGACTGTGACTGTAAGAAGAGTATGCATTTATGCCTGCGTGTAGTTACCAAATAAAAATTTTTAAGATGCAGCAGTACATCCTCTCATTTTGCTGACATAAAGTGCTGGTTGGTGGTATGTTGTACCGAATGGACAACGTCTTCCCACAAGGTACGAGTGAGCCGGGGAGGTCATCCTGTTAACTCTGCTTTCAGGAAGGTTGCCTGCGGATTGTCCAGCACAGACGCAGCCTATTCTAAAGGGGGATGTAGGAAAAAGGAAGGGGATCAGGGAAGAGGCAGGGGTGGAAGAGAGAGAGAGACGGATGCTATCAATATGCATGCATGAGAACGGTACAAGGTTGGAGAGACAGTTAAGTGGAAGAAGTCTGTGACCCATGGTTGAAACATCACCTCAGAATCATCTGAGGAGCTTAATATACATTCTGATTTTTTTTAATTGTAAATGTCCCACAAGACCATGATACAAATCTGTCAAACAATATGGAGAAATATAAGAAGTTCTAGCAATCTCAGGTACATGGTATGCTTGAGCTCAGCCTGAACTACATGATATCCCCTCTTAAATAAACAAACAAATAAAGAGTAACTCTCAAAAATCCTACCTGAGATTCTCCCAAATCCTCGGTGCCCCTTCAGGCTATAATGTGGTTTTCCATTGTAGGGTTGACTCTATAGCTTTAATCTAATGAACAATGATCCAGAAGATAAAACATGGGTTGTGATGAATGTGAGATGAAACAGTCAGCAAAAACAATGACCCAAGAGACAGTTCCTCCCGTGCGGTAATTCGAGCTCTTGTTACAAAGCTTTATGCAGTATAAGTTATAATTATGAAAGAATCCAGAACTTGACCTATGAGGACAAAGGTGTTAAAGATGTATTCAAAAAAGGGGAGGAGAGCAAGCTATAGGATAAAGAGGTGATGGTGTGAGCGAGGACGTTTGGGTTGGGAAGGCCTGGCTGGAGTAGACAGTGGAGAGAGGTAGCTGTCCTCACGAAGGACGAAGGTGAGGCTGGGCACCCACTGGTGATAGTGGGAGTCACTGCAGATTCATTAGAAGGAAACGACACAAAGAACCTTGCAGTAGTTCCAGCTTCCGACTGCTTCCTTGGGGGCAACCCAAACTTTTATTTCCATAAGGGAAATAGACAGAAATATCCATGCACCCATTTTGGTACCTCTGAGCCAAGGCATTGCCTATAAGCTCACTGGGCCTCCCCAAGCCTGCTCTTTTAGCCTTTCTCCGTTTCTTCCCCTACTTTATTTCTTTCCCCAGATAACAACTCCTTATTCTACACCTCCCGCTGAGCCCCCAGCTCCAGCCTCTGTCCAGAGCAAGAATATCTTAACAAGTGATAAAAAGCTGTGGGCTCTTCAGAGTAAATTGATCCCCTCTGAGACATGCTCACTCATAATTACTCTCAGCTCCTTGGGGTGAAAAGCATGTTCTCAAAATGTCAGCTGAGCCCTCCGTCTCCCTCCCTTCCGGTTGCAGGAGTTACAGAGCAGCGTTGCCTATCTAACAAGTTATTTATAATGAGTTCAGCTGACCTTTATCATGTAGATCTGCATCTTAGGATGGGGAAAAAATGCTTTCCCAAGGTCACTCTAGATTTGCTTTTTGATTCAGAAAAACACTCAATGCCTTTGTAGCCTGAGCTCTAAATTACAAGTCTGTGGTTTGTGTCCTTCAAGATATCCTAAGTTTTGCATCAACATCTCTTCCTTCAGGAAATATCTTAAAATATAAATGGGTACAAAGCGTGTTTAACTTGGGTTATGGAGGAGATGAACTCAACTTGTGTTGTTGGATTCATAAGCATTCCAGTATGGGGAATTCTATTTTCTAGAGTTTAAGTGGCGGTAAGATATACAATTTCAGGAGGCAGAAGTTAAATCCTACAGATATTTATGTATGTAGAAAAAGTAAATTCATTGAAGTTCGCTTCTTATTGTCCTCACTGCACAGTGTGATATGCAAATGTTTTCAGATTATAAGTACATTGATGCATTTGCTGTGCTGAAAAAAATTGACCAAAAATAATTAAAACATGAGCCTTGTGGTTTCAAGATGTCATTTTCAGAATTGACATATAAAACACATAGAAGCCTGAATACTTTTGAGAGGCATTGTAAGCCCCAAAGCATGGTGTAAAGTCTGAGGTAGGTGTCTCATTTTTGATTTATAATGAAGTTTCCAGAAATGGTGCCCAAAGCACTGGGCACGCACAATCCAGAATCAAACTGGCCTGTACCTGAAAGGATTATTTGCCTGAAAAATAATCCTCTAAGCTTTGCCTGTACATCTTGTTTCTGAAAAAGGAGAAATGGAATTTCCAGACAAATGCCCACTCTGTAGACAGGAGCCCTTCCTATCCCAACAGTTGGCTTTGGCTGGAAGAGCCAGGACCTAACCAGTTGGGGGCCCTTTCCAAGGTGCTTTTTATTGTTGTTTGTGTGTTTGTTTACAGTATTAGAGTGTTCTGCTGGGCTCATTGCAGGGCAGAAACTTGTTCCAGTTTCCTGATACAAATGAGTACTCATGACATGTCCCAGAGGGTCACAAAATCCTCTAAGATCCTCTATCCCACAGGCTTCCACAACCTCCAGACTGGTGATCCTTTAAATACACTGCTTAGTGAAAGAGGACTTTCATTTAGAGCATTTGCAAGAGAGATTTCTCCTTCTCTTCCAAGCCCTATCATCAACCCCTGGATGCGCAGCTTATTCCTGTTTTGAAGGAAGTGAATTTTCATGGGTTCTTGGGAGCCTCAAGAAGCACAAACAAAGTTCTCTGTCATCCATGCTGGGTGTCCCACTTTATGGGTAAAGAGGCGGAGGAACAGGCCCCATGGCAGGACTATAGGCACAGGGCAGAAAATGCATCCTTATCTCCAGTTTTTCCTCCTTCACTTTTGATCATGAATTAGATTCTCCACTTGAATAGCATCACATCATTTTGTCTGTGTGTCATCCAGGGCAAGACAGACAAAAGGATCATTAATAAATACATTCATGGAAATATCTATTTGATGATTGACCCAAAGATTACAATTTTAGTCTCTTTTGGCAGTACAGAAACACTTGTTTTAGAAAAAGAAGTCCCTTAGCTGATGTGTTATTTTTAAATATCCTGAAGCTTCAGCTTAGGTGTCAGAATCATTTCCAGTTAGATTTCAAAAGATCCTGTAGGAAAGATTCATCCTCAAAATACAGGCTCATCAATCTAGGAAAAGGCTTCAAGCTTTCTTTAATCCAATCAGACTTCTGAGCTGTTTTTCTTAGCTGAAGGGGCATAGCAGACAAAGAAACCTCTATCGGTGTTCACAGGAACTGGGTACTGCCCTGTCCTTGGGTCATCAAAGGGAAGCCTGGGTGCTCTGGGGACCCAGCCAGAGCTTCAGAAGACTTACCATCTAGAAGTAGCTGGAGTTTGAAAGCACACTTTATCCTGTTCTGTCCTGCCTTTTTGTCTTTGCTGAAGCAGGCCCTCCCCCTGTCTCCTCAGCTGAAGTTTGCTTTCAGCAGTTCAGTGGCCAGTGAGCAACTGCAGTCTGAAAATATTAAATGGAAAATTCCAGAAGTAAACAGAGATGGCATTCACATCATTATTTTTTAAATGTCCTATGTTGGCATAATTATTCTATCACTGTTGACCCTTTAATGGTCCTGATTGATAAATTAAGCTTTATCACAAGCATGCAAGCACAGGAAAAACCATAAGTATATGGGACTATATACTTATATAAGTCAGGACTATCTGGGGTTTTACGCTGCTGTACTTTGCTCTGTTCTCTCCTCTGCTAATTTGAGTTCAGAAAGAAACCTATGAAAATATTAAAGTTCTCTGTTGCATGCATTTTTTTCTTAATAATCAGTGACAGAGGGTGGCTTCGTCCTGACCTCACCTAACTTTGTAAGGCCTGCATTACATTTCTCTCTTTCTCTGCTTTGTATAAAGACCATCCTCATCAGCCACATGTCTCTTCCTGCACTCTCCATCACTAGATCTCATTTTGCATCCTGAATGGCAGCGATTTCTATTATGCTTTCACGTGACTGCTCTCAAGCTATAGTTACTACTGCACAGGCCTCTCGTGATTCTGAATGATTTCCAGCAAAAGGCAAGATGCTTTTCTTTGTGAAGGGGTCTGCTTTGTGAAGGGTATCTATCATTCCTTCTGAGAAAAAATGATTGGGCAGGGCTGCTTGCAGCCCATTATAAAAGACTGGTATATCCCAAGTTACAGATTCCTCTCCGATCAAGAAACCTCCTGTGCGTGCATGTACTGTTCCAACCAGCCATGAGCTGTCCTGTGGAAACTGGGCAAGGGACAGGAAGATACTGTTATTGTATGACCCGTGTGCCTGACCCAGGAGTTACAGCATGTCAGCGTCCGTGAATGTGTCAGACTGACCGAGGAGTCTGCAGTTGCTGACAGTTCCACTTCCCTGGAACAAACACTTCTAGTTTCTTCAATCATAGTTGAAGCACATCTAGTTGCTTTGTATTGACAAATGCTTTGAAGCCATCTCTTATTCTTATCAAAATTTGGATACTCATCAGACTTATGATAACTCTAGTACCTAGAAAGGAAAAATCCATATGTAGTTATCTAGAAGGAGTAAAACTAAAACATACAGGTTAAAATTTGATTGGAGAAGTGATGTGTTATGAAGATGTCACCCAGCATTTGTTCTATCAAGCCTCTAAAAAGCCACATGGTCCAGGTATTACAGGAAAGTGTGACTTACCCAAAAGTGGTGGTTAAACTGGTGTCCATCCTATTGGAGCTCTGTTTGGATCTTTTAAGTTCAGAGTCTTTATGTAATTTTCACTAGTAGGCTGGATTGAGTCTTTCTCAATAAAGTGAAATCTTTCATAAACTTAATTTGTTCTTTGACAATTTCTTTGTTTTTAATTTAATTTTATTTTATTAATTAAACTTTATTCACTTTGTATCCCCCCCATAAGCCTCTCCCTCCTCCCCTACCGATCCCACCCTCCCTCCCCCTTCTTCACACATGGCCCTCCCCAAGTCCACTGATAGGGGAGGTCCCC